AAACCATTAAAATTTAATATATAAAATTTGTCCACTTAATTTCATTAAAGTAACACATATTTTGACCAACCTAAACGGTTCATAGTCAGCTGGAAAGTTGGAAATTACTATATAGGGTATATTGGGGGCAGAGAAAGGGCCTTTGACATTACTCAGGTATACTCGAGAACATATTTTCAAGCAACTTAAATATATATATCTCACACACTGACCGACATATTTGGCATAATGATTGCTATAATTACGAATTATTATATATATGTATGTATGTAGTATATGGGAGTTGGGTTAATTCGTCGACTAATTTCACATATTTACTGCATTCAACTGTAGTATATTATAGGTTCAGTTAATTTTGCTAAGATGCCTTAAATGATCGATCTATACTGTAAGCCAATCGTTTGAAAATCTTACATTAGGTATATGGCACATAGGGATAGCATTGACCCGATTTAATCTTCGTTTGGGACTACTACATATGGACTAATAGAAAAAGACCCTCTCTGAATTTTATAAAGGTACCTCACATACCATCCCCAATATAGGATATGTGGAGTAAAGTTTACCGGATATTTGATTCTGGTATTAATTATATGGGGTCTAGGGTATGTGTTCAACCGGTTTAAACCACTTAATGAACAAAAATAGATTGTTATTAGAAAAACACACTTCTTCAATTTCATTAAGATAACTAACATTTTGACCGATATTTGCGGTATAACGTCAGCCGGATGTTTGAAAATTTTCCATTAAGTATATTGAGACTAAGGAAATTATTGATCCGATTCAACGCATTTATGGCACACGAGCATATTATTGTCAGATAATGATTCTCTGAGAGTTTTTGTAATATATCTCAGAGATTGACCAATATTTATTTACAAAAAGATCGCAATAACCGATTTGGCTAATTTGTGGTCATAAGCTGGCAAAATTTAAAGGCAGTATTTGTGCACAGTTTTATCCCGATATGCTTGGGGCTTAATTTGTATACAAGAAAGTGAAACAATCAGATGGAATTTAAAATTGTAGTCCGATTTCGCCCATAATGCTACCTATCGGTTGGAATCGGTTGAGCAGGTCTCGTCAAATTTTGACAGCGGGTATGACCATCTTTCCTATGGCCTCGGATGCAAAATTTTATGTTTCTGACGAGTTTAGTTATTGGTTTATCGCGCATTTAGTAGTTTTTATATGAAGAATGGGATTTGTCCTGAGCGAATTTGGTCATAACAGCTTAAATGGTCTAGAAAATATGTATGCACATTAAACCTCTTAGAGCGCTAGGCCACACGCAGTTTTTTCAAAAATATTGGCCTACATGGGCCCCTTGCTACTGCGAAGCCAAATAACAGTTTTATATCTTAATTTAGCGCTTAATTATGGCACTTTATTAATTTTTACTCAAGTTACAGCTTGCACAGACGGGCGGACGGTCAGACAGTCACTCAAATGTCGAAACGTTTACTTGACTTGTGATAGGAGCAAGTGTTCAGATTACGAATTTATTCATGAAAGTATTAAATGTGCTCTTATTTTTTGTTATTTGCATTTCTTATATTTTGATCAATTATCAACTTATTATTAATAAAAATGTTTACCCAGTCATAATTAGTGTTCTGCTCCCCTTTATGCTTGGGGCTTAATTTGTATACAAGAAAGTGAAACAATCAGATGGAATTTAAAATTGTAGTCCGATTTCGCCCATAATGCTACCTATCGGTTGGAATCGGTTGAGCAGGTCTCGTCAAATTTTGACAGCGGGTATGACCATCTTTCCTATGGCCTCGGATGCAAAATTTTATGTTTCTGACGAGTTTAGTTATTGGTTTATCGCGCATTTAGTAGTTTTTATATGAAGAATGGGATTTGTCCTGAGCGAATTTGGTCATAACAGCTTAAATGGTCTAGAAAATATGTATGCACATTAAACCTCTTAGAGCGCTAGGCCACACGCAGTTTTTTCAAAAATATTGGCCTACATGGGCCCCTTGCTACTGCGAAGCCAAATAACAGTTTTATATCTTAATTTAGCGCTTAATTATGGCACTTTATTAATTTTTACTCAAGTTACAGCTTGCACAGACGGGCGGACGGTCAGACAGTCACTCAAATGTCGAAACGTTTACTTGACTTGTGATAGGAGCAAGTGTTCAGATTACGAATTTATTCATGAAAGTATTAAATGTGCTCTTATTTTTTGTTATTTGCATTTCTTATATTTTGATCAATTATCAACTTATTATTAATAAAAATGTTTACCCAGTCATAATTAGTGTTCTGCTCCCCTTTTTTGTGTATATAACATCACATGAACGCCACTCTTAGGCTTTTTTCCGAAAATATGCGCCAAAGTTGTTTTCTCAAAATTAACTTAGGGATTTTATACGTGATCAATAAACGAATGATGATTTTGATTTTGGATGTGATATTTCCGAAGATGGGTATGGAAAAGTTGAAGGTGGACTCTTTGCAATTTAAAACGGCAATTCATGAAAGATACAGATTTCGTCAAAGTTATGTCTGTTCCGGAAAGTTTAGTTTGAAAAAGGTTAATATTGATATTCGAAATATTCCTAGGTAACCATAAAAGTCCAAATTATGAAGAAATTGTACAAAATAGCTGACAAACTTTTAGATTCCAAGAGCATATATGTATGTATGAGTTGTAAGTTAGACTATATCCGCAATCATTCGGATTATTTAGATAATAATGGTGGGAAACAGAGACGGTTCTTTCTTTAGGATCTAAAAAACATGAAAGCAAGGTGTGAAGGCCAGTTATGGTAGACTATCCTTAAAAAGATATTGTTAACTGGAAAATTATAAAGGAAGAACTCATAAAATATATTTCATTGAGATATATAACATACATATGTTTTCGACATTTGTCTCTCTGTTTACTTCGATGCATCCTAATTTTTCAAAACTAAACTTATATTATAAATACCTACAATGTATGTTATTTGGTTTCGTGTTTTCTGATTTTTTAACGTAAAATTAAAATAAAGATTTCAAAATAAACAAGAGCAAATCTTACAAAATCATTGATAATGTCTTAAAGTGTGAGCACAAATGTATTTAAAATCGATATTATATGTGGGACAACAAAACCACTGTAGACCAGTGATGTACAATATCGTATTATACAATTGGAAAGGAAGATGGTATAGAACAATTTGGGCATTGTTGACTTATATCATCGTATTTTTATGATTGAGTTAACCCTTTTATTGCCATCCCCTAGATTTTAGTAGTTTTGAAGTTTATGAGAAATAGGCGTCGCTATACCCCTTTTTAGCATTGTCGTATACGGTAGTCGAATATAATGATCCGGTATGGTTGTAATTGCTTCCACAGTTTATGAAAAAGGGGTTCGCTTTTCACAATTTTTTTGCACGTACATTTCCCTTTTAAAACTTTATTTGATACTGTATTTTAGCAATATACAGTGCCACATATACGTATAAACGCACTCTTAGTTTTAATTTTGCTAACTTCTCTCTTCCTTTGCATTGCACTAATTACAACAAATTCTCTCTCATATTGTTTGTTAAACTAACGGAAATTCGTATTGAGTGCAAACCCCCACTTTTGTTGTTGTTGTTATATTTAAATCGTTGCATTTTAAATCAAATAGCAAAAACAGGCACATATTCGTTTGTTGCTTTGGAAAAATATCAGGGTCTAGTACTTGAAGCTACCTCATTCGAAAAATCATTTAAAAATCAGGCAGTCACTGACCAATCAACCTGCATCCATAGAGCTTGCAAATTGGAAATCAAACGTCTGAAATATCGAGATAAGTTCGTAAGTATGTAGATATATAGTTACATAGTCGACTAACACAACATACATATACTTGTATTCTCAGCAAAACAGCTTTAGCATTCTGTTAAAATCGCATCTTAACATTGATTGCATTTTACATTAATGCTATTTTAAAAGATTATAAATAACAAATATACACACGTTTATTTATAGAATGATAATAAAAGAAAGAAAGAATATGTCTTATCAAGTCAATGATAAGCAGACATATTCACTTTCTCTTTTCGTCACCATAGAATATAAGAATGGCTTAATTTTTGAGTTTAGGGTAAACAATAGTAATCCAATGGTAAGCTTTATACGCGAACTCGTAAACGTTCAAGAGCACTTAAGAGAGCAGCATTTTAATAGAATGTGTAGTTCTACAGCAGACGTCGCATTAAGCAGACATTCGATATTAATTTTGCTAAGCCAAGCAACGATAATTTTTTGACTTTGTTCAGTGTTCAGAAGTTCATTATTTAGCAAACCTAATATGGATTTGACAGGTAAAAATGTGATTTATGAAGGTGGCTTTGGAGGCATTGGTCAGTGTTGTTTGAGGGAATTTCTCGAGAGAGGTGTAAAGGTAAAATCGCAAAGTAAATATTTATTAACCTAAAAAATCCTCACACAAAATATCTATATAAACAAACTTTTGTTTAAAGAGCCTAGTCATTTTCGATCTGCAAGAAAATGCAAACATTTTGCAAGAGTTAACAAGTTCGTATCCCGAGGCGCAAATCTATTTCGTTCCCTTTGACATCACTGATAAAAATAGCATTACAGAGGCCTTTAAGAAAGCGGTTGAGAAGATCGGACACTTTGATGTGCTGGTCAATGGTTGTGGTTTGATGGATGATACCAAAGTGGAGTTGATGATTAATATTAATTTGGTAAGATGTTAAGCTAGATAAGAGTTCCGCGGTTGATTTTGTAAGTATTACTGCATACAATTCTTCTTAGATGGGTTTAATTCATAGCACTTTGACGGCTCTACCATATATGGATAAATCCAATGGTGGCCGCGGTGGTCTTATCATCAACATATCTTCTGTGGCCGGTTTGGAACCAACTGCTGTTGTAGCTGTTTATTCTGCGGCTAAACACGGTGTGACAGCATTCACACGAGCCATGGCGGTAAGTACACATATGGTGTTCCTATAGAATATCTTTTCAGCTTAAATAGATTATAGTGCTATATTGTAAGCATTTTTATGGTATCGAAATATATACCATATGCATACATATATATGAATATATGATTACTTTATTTTGTTGTTGTGCACACACATACAAAGTAATTATAAAACAAATATAACTTAATTAAATAAACTCAGATTAAGTAATCGGGGCATTGAGAATAATTTTATTTACATAACCGAGATTTTATTGCGACAGTTTACAAAAACAAAAGCATAATATTCCGGATAACAACCGAATGTCGTAAGAGCATATTACTGACTAGCAGTAAATACTAAAATTTATACACTTCTTACTCAGATTAGTTGATGAGTCTTCTTATATTTCTTACATCTATAATAAATATAATAACTGTATTCATTATCTCAGATAACTTTATACTGTAATATTTCATGCAAAACTTGTATATATTATATAATATTATATGAAGAAGAATTATTATTTTAGAGTCCCCACTATTACAAACATTTCGGAGTCAGTTTCATCACTATTTGTCCAGGCATAACAGATACAAACCTTGTGGCGAACCCTCACGAGAAGGCAACATTTAAATTCGCTGAAGCTTTAGGGGCACGTTTGGCTACGGCCGAGCGCCAAAGTCCCGAAGTGTGCGCGCAGAATCTGGTGAAACTTGCAGAGACTGGCAAAAATGGTGGTGTCTATATGCTTGATTTGGGCGAAATCAAAGAAATGACATTCCCCACCATGTGGGCCCCACTTTTCAACCCTTGAAAGTTTTTGGAATTCATTGACAATTTTAAATCCCCATTTATATGTACATATGTAAACATCTGATTAGAGTGATTATATTAAAACAAAAACAAAAAATAATAATAATAAAGGCAGATAAAGGCGAATAAATGGGAATAGCAAAAACCGTTTAAGTATAAATATAATATTGTACCATAGTTTTATCTCTTATGACTTTGCCGTGCTTAAATGCTCAGTCATGATTCGTGGTGGTTAGGGAAAACATATTCTATAATATTATCGTTTATTGTTTGTGATATTTATCTTATACAACATAGTATATGTTTACAATTAATACAATATCTTAGGATTAGTTCCCGATTTTATGTTCGTAAACAATTTTTGTATTGTTCTCTTCATGATAGCAAACTTGAAAGAAAATAATCACAAAGATATGGTGTCTAATCATATTTTAAACAAGCATAATAAATTTACAAACAATAAGAAATAATAAATTTACAAACAATTTTCAAACATTTGTACCCTATTTAGGGTATTGTGAAGAAGCTTTAAGTAACAGTATAGGTCACAGACTCTCTTAGTTTTATTACTATATTTTACTTCGCATCAACCATAGGATCGGAGTTCAATATCTTAGGGATATAAGGTTTGGACCAAAATCTAGATCAATTTCATTCATATTCCCAACAATTTCATTTTTCAAAAAAACTTCTTCATTTAATTTTAATCAAGTATCACACATTTTGTCAGGTGGAAAGTCGGTAATTATTATACAGGCAATATTGGGGACAGGGAAAGGGATAGGCTGATTGAGTATATTTTGACATTGTTGAGGTATACTTGAGATCATATTTTCAATCAATTTTATAAATACAAAGGTCGCCAGTGGTCGAAATTCGAAAAATCGAAAATACAATTTGTTAACAACGTTAATAGTACTTAAATTTCTTTAAAGAATTTAAACAAAATTTGAACAAAATCTAGAGAAAGTTGTAGACATATACATTGATACATACATTGATTTATTATAAGGTGAGCTGCTAGATTTTGCTTGTGATTTACATAGCAATGAATAGATTTTTCATCCAGATAATGCCCCAACCCACGTGGAAAAAAGACGACAAAGGAGTTCTTTAACTCCCTACAGACTGAGTTTTCTCAGCGGGCTGCCTTAAGCCCAGACCACAATCCCATCGAAGATCTATGGAGAGTTCTTTTCGCCAAAATATTTGCATATTCGAAGCAATACGACAGCCTTAGGTAGCTTAAAAATGCCATAGTAGATGAATGGGACAAAACTGCTTTGTCAGCTTTAAATTTACTGTTGGAATAATGGCCGTCATATTCACTTGGTGAAGATAATTAAGGATAGCACAATCTCTTATTAAATCAACATATTATATTATTCCTTTTATACATATTAAATAAGCTTTTTGCACTTATAAATATTTTATATAGGCCATTAAAGTATTAATGTTTTTAATACTATATTAAGAAATAAAAATAAAAAAAACTTTGTTTTACAATCCTTAGTTATCTATAAAAACACTAACACCAAAAATTTGTCAAATTTTGTATGTCATTAAAACAGGGTTGCAAATAATGCATTAAAAAAATAATTGAATTAACGTTTGAATTAAATTTTTTTTATTTTGTAATCCCAAATACCGGATTGAAAAATCAAAAAAATTTAATCCCACAAACCAGATTTAAAAAATAAAAAAAACTCAACTCAAATAAAAAAAACAAAACTCAAGCATTTAATCAAGAATTATGATCAGTTACTTTTTAAAGCAAAATTTTTAACTAAAAAATTCGCATCCCTGCTTTAAAATAATAATTAAAGTTGAACGCTTACATATATTATGAAATTAGGATAACAACAGAATGTTCGCATAGTATATTTCAACTCCATAATTTTAATCTACAAAATCAAGAGAACTCAATAAAATAGATGCTTCTTTACAATTTATATTTTTCCACGGTTTTTAATGCTTATTATGCGGCTGTTTGTATGCACATGTAAGTGAGGTTATGTCCAGCCAGTATTTCAACAGAATTGAAACTCTTTCCTAATTGTAAAAATTTCCTCAACATTTCTTCTAACGCATCCAACACCTCATTAAAGTGTAAAAATGCGCGGAAGCAAGCCAAGAATGCAAATATGATGTTAAGGCTACCATGTCCAAAAGTAGACTTTACATTTGGTATAACCAGACTATATCATTAATTGAAATATTGCAATGTTATGAAAATTGTTGCTAATTCTAGTTAAGGCCTAAACCATCGATAGTCAAAATAAGCTATCGCTAATGATACGAAAATAAAACCATCGATTGTTTTGCATCTCTACAGCCCGCGAGGACCGACATTACAAGTATATGTGCGCGTAACTCAAAAATATGTAAATCGCTATAATTGGCTAAAACACTAATATTTTGATTTCTAATTGTCCTTTCCCATATATATTATTTCTTATATAATTAGAATATATTTCTTATATAATTAGAATATATTAAGTAGAACCAATGGGCAAGACCAAAACATTTTTTGTTGTTGTATGTAAATATATGTATGATGCAATTTTTTCGATGTAGCATTTAAAGCTAGGCGAGTTTTACTTTTTTATATACCACATTCAGTGTAATATAACCAATTAAGTCGAGTTGTGTCGAAACAATTAATGCTAAAAACAGTTAAAAGTTTTCGTTTATGTATCGGTTTGAGTGACGACTGCATTCTCAAACCGCAAAAAACAAGGCTAACCGCACTGTTAAATATGAGCAGAAAAGCTTTCCTCATATTTCCATCGTAAACCGGTCAAAAAAGCACCAGAACACTATTAAAAATAAATAAATTGAGAATCAGTCATAAAAAAGTTGTAAAACATTTGTAATGCTACGAGTTACACTTAAAGAAATCGGATGCGATCAATTTTAGAGCTTGCACGCTTGTCTGCTTTCACATGTACACAGCAGTGTTCCGTGTTTGATAAGATTTCACGTCTATTTCCCAATGCCAAAGCAGAAGACTTGCAGTTCATTAAAGTATAATAACCCAACGAATTCCCTCCTCCCGCAACCGCATACGTGCGGAATTAGCCAAATCAAGAAAGGCAAAAAACTTTTTTAAGCGTCGAGATTTATAATTGCTAAGCTACGGAAAAAAATTTCAACAGCTAAGCTTTAAAATTTTGTTATAATAAATTATTACGATTTTATTTATTAAGGACAAGTAATATTGTCTTGTAAATTTTGAAAATAAGTAAGATTAATCAAATGTGCAGTAATGAGATTAAAGACCCATGCCGCTGAAAGAGTCGTTTAGTTCAAAATTTGATCTACAAGATTTTTACAGTAATGTCTTAACTGCCTCGATAAGCGAACCGGGATATTAATTTAACTTCAGACAAGAGAGAATAACTGCAAACTGTTTTATTCACGATTTTCACTAAGAATAGTATGGTATGCCAAGCATTTCCTTACGACTAGTAGGTATAGGTAGGTGTATAAGCTTTTTAAATGACTAATTTATGAAGAAGACTTAACCTAGAATACCAACCGAAATGTTCTTAGGTGAAAAGTAAAAATTGTTTTTGAACGGACTCTAACTTATGAGAATGGATTTAGTAATTAGAGCCATATTCCAATATAGGCCTAACCAAAGATGTATAAAATGTTTTAGTAACACACAGATTTCTAAATTCTTTAGAACAGCGTTTTACAAAACTATGAATACCTTTTGCTTTCAAAAGGTATTGGTATTATAATAAAGACGAAAATTAAGCTTAAGCCCATGGTAACTACCATATCAATAATGTTATAGTACAGTTCCTAGCTTTTATACCCTGAACAGAATATACAAGTATTAGAAGTTTGCAACACCCAGAAGGAAACGTCGGCGACCCTATAAAATGTATATACTTGTATTAATAATTAGCGTGACGTGCTGAGTTGATTCAGCCATGTCCGTCTATCCGACTGTCGGTATATACGCGAACTATTCCCTCAGTTTCTGAGATATGACTCTGAAATATTGCACACATCATTTTCTGTATAAGAAGTTGCTAATTTGTAGGAACCGTCGCTATCGGACCACTATTGGAATCAAGTTCTTATATGGAAAAGTTTTTTATCAGACAAGATATTTTCACGAAATTTTCCACGGACTATTACCCAAAACATTACTACAATATCCGAATTATATTATCCGAAAAATAAATTAACAAATTTTTTCAGATCGGACGACTATAGCTGCCATACAAATAAACGATCGAAATCAAGATAAAGATATTCACAAAGGATCTTTATACCGAACAACGTGTGTAGAAAGAACTAGCAAAACTTTGTTAGCTGGATGCAAACCGTTGCCGTTACGTTTTCAAATTTAGTTATAAATATAGTTGTTATTAAAAAATGCTCCTGCAAATGGTATAATAGCTTTAGTGTAGACGTTTTTTCTTGTTTTTTTTTTTTAGATAGAGAGAGGGCTGCACAGTTCTACGGAAAATGCAAATCGTCTTACATTTTTTGAAATTCAATGGCAAATTATTTCCATTAGACCAAGCAATCAAATTGTTTAAGTCTATTTGCAACAGGCACCTTTCTTCAGTTGAAGTATATGATTTATGGTCAAAAGCTATATGATTTTGATATAAAGGTTATCATACTTGGACCCTAATTAAATAATTGTTTTAACTTATTTCAGTAATGTAAAACGTCTTCTTCAGAATATGTTTAACAATGAATGGAAAATCTATTTTTAGATTATGGCTTAAGTGAAAATTGTTTTAAAAAAATACATAAGTGACAAGCAATTACTATTTGCACTCTACTGCTTTTCATGTTCAAAGCATGTAGATATGTATGTATATAAAGCAACCAGCTCTTTCCTCACAAAATTTATAAAATAATTTTATAACATACTGCATACCGCAATATGTGGTTTTCAAGAAGAAATAAAACGCATATAAATAATATAATGTTAAGGCCAAGAAATTTAGCTTTATTATAAAAATAAGGATTGCATTATGTTTTAAAAATGATTTGGGGCAAGTAGCCGCCGCGGCTGGCTCAATAACGCAACAAATATTCTCTTCCAGGGCTTATCTACTTAGGCAAGCGACTTCACTTCTTAGCGGCCACGCCACAGGCCCACGGCGCGAGATGCATTATCACCAAAAGTTTCCTTCAATAAATTGATTGTTTCGTTGCATGTAATGCCATCTTATTGGAACCAAAGATCGTCATCAACATCCTCCAAATCAAGCACGAAAAAGTCATTAATCATGGCTCTATAGCGATCCCCGGTAACTCTAACATCATGGTCAGTTTCCTTTTTGAACCAATGATTCCCTCTGGCCATAGTGCACACCAAACCAATCCAACCAAAAATGAACTGTCACTGAACATATTCTGCGTCTCTGAGGATTTGCATTATCCACTAGAGTAAACGTGGTACGAAACCGATCCATGGTTGTTCGAATTACCGACTCTGCTGGGCGATAATGTTGACCGAATATTGGCCGCAGCGGGTTAAGTCTGTTCCTTATGAAACGGTAAACCAAACTGAGTATAAATCAAGTAGCAGTTGTCCAAAAAGACCAGCTCCGAAAAAAGTATTGCCTCATTGAAAAACACCTTGTACTTAAATAATCTTTAATTCACATTATGAATTTTCTCCATTAAAGTCTGCAATGCGGGGGTTATAAAATTAAACCTTTGGTTAAGAAGAAATGCGTTCATATTGATATAAGGATTGACTAATGTAATACTTGAACTTTTGAGTTGAACTTTGAGTATCATCATCTCGTTAGAATAAAAATTCTGAATGAAAAAGTAAATTAAATTATTTTTGTAGCGTATTACAAGTATATACTTGTATATACCATTTTTTTAAATGTAATCCGCTATTCAATAGCGCGACACACTGTAGCGCAAGTTCCCCGGCGCAAAGCGCTCATTACAACAAAGCGCATACCGGTTCAATGTTTGTGCTTTCATTGTTGTTTGCGAAGGTCTGGCACAAAGTAAAAGCTGATAATTTATAATAATGAAAATAACCAATAAATACAAGGCAAAAAGAAATGAAAATGAAATTATTGCACAATAATAGCCGATAAGTGCAGGGTAGTAGCCGCGGAAGGAAATTTTGTATTTAAAATAAACTTATTATTAGCTATAAAGCTTTAATATTATTGATTGATTTATAAATTATTAAAATGTTGAAATATTTGTTTCGAGGTAAGTCAAATGAAAAATGTGCCTTTTTCACCAGTGCATACGTTTATAGTAGCACGCACACCCAGCATGGCACTTAAAATTACGAAATGGAGTGACAGACCGGCAAGAGGAGTTGCGATCAGTAATTAAACACGCGATCGCAGTTTGGCCGAAATTATCAGCCGCTACAAAGTATGGATTTGAAAAATAAAAATGTTATTTATGTGGGTGGATTTGGTGGCATTGGGTTCTGTTGTTGTAAAAGTCTCTTAGAACAAGGGGTGGCCGTAAGTATTAAGCTTCCAACAGCTAGTTAATTCAATGGCACCTCAGTAAACTACACATACTATACATTGAATATTCCAATTAGAATATAGCGATTATGGATGTGGTTGAGGATGCTGAAATGCTCGAGACATTACAAGCTATCAATAAAGCTGCCAATGTATTCTATATCAAAATGGACTTAACAGATGTGGAGAACATAGAGAGTGCCTTCACAGAAGCACATGACACTATGGGTCGCTTCGATATTGTGGTGAACGGTAGTGGCATAATGAATGAGCATGAAATCGAAAGAACAATACAAATTAATTTGGTGAGTTCAAAATAGAAGGAGAAGTGACTATTATCTAACTGATCTGTTTTGTTTTCATTTAATTCAATGCAGTTGAATTTTTTCGCATTCGTAAATACCCTACTGTGAAATCAATGAATCATGAACTACTTTACAACTAGTATAAACCGAACTAGTCGGCCATAGTCGCTTTATGCTTACAAGTAGTTATCAAATTTCGGGCAGAATTGAATTTTTTGTGAATCGTTGATGTGAAATTAAAAAACTAGTAAATAAATTGTGATAATACATGTATATGTATATACTTGTACATAAAGGTAAATCTGAAGTTTATTTGACTACATCGAATTTCGCCTAGAAATTCTAATAGCAAACTAATATTACTGTGACTAATTTAAAGCTTCACTGCAGAGTATTTCGTTTGCGTATAAATATTAACTTGCATGAGTTTATGTATGCATGTAATATTATATATGTATACTTGTATATGTATTCCAGTTAGGTGTCATATACAGCACTTTTGCGGCTTTGCGCCTAATGGACAAATCGAAAGGTGGGAATGGAGGTCTAATTGTAAACATTTCCTCGGTCGTCAGTTTGGATGCTTATGGTGCATATGCTGTGTATACCGCCTCTAAATATGGTGTTAATGGATTCACAAGAGCACTTTCGGTTTGTCATTATAATCCGAAGTGTTTCAATTCCGATAAAATATTTTTCAATATGTGTACTCACTGATTTTACAGGATCCATATTATTATAGTCAAACAAAAGTCGGTTTCATCACGATCTGCCCAAGCACTACGGAGACACAAATGGTTTCATCCCTACGCATGGATGCATTGACAACATTTGATCGGATGCCACCACTGCCCAAAACGTTATGCAACAATCAAAGCCCTGAGAATTGTGCCTATAATTTAGTAACAGCCATTAAGACTGCCAAAAATGGTTCAGTGTGGATTTTGAGTGCAGGCATTCTAAGGGAATATCATTATCCCGATATTTAAGTAAAAAAGAAGAGTTTTGAAAGTAAAAAAGCCACTAGAAGGAAAGCCACTAATGGATTTGAAAAGGTGAAAAAGTGTTAATTATGTTATTTAATTTGTTTCCTTCGGCTACTGACATAGAGTTAATTCAAAAAATAATATCGCCTGTTAAAAAAAGTTTGAAAAATATTGCTTTTTAAAAATATTTTAATATAAAAGTATTAATTTTTAATCATATTCTAAGGCCAAAGGATACTATTTAAATTAATGTTTGCTCCTAAAAATCGTTATATCTTCACCGATAAAAGGTTTTGCTTGATAATTAATTATATTTCGTATCAGATAATTAACTAAAGACTTCACTACTACTTACGCATGTACTATATGCTGTAACTGCCAGCTAAGTTTTTTAATTGCAGTCGATCTCATGGAACACAGGCTTTGAAATTTTTATACACCTATGTATGTACGTATGTATGTAAATTAATTAAACTCGAATAGAAGCCATGCAACTAGTTATTAAAACAACAAAATGTATTCTAACATAACTTTAGTGATAGTCTATAAAATATATAAGATAATGTGAACAAACGAAAATATATGTATTCCTAACAATTAATTGTTATTAGAAATCGAAAACTGTATTCAATATCGGAAAGCACATACAATTTAGTATACTCCTGTTTTTAATTACAACACTTATTAAATATATTTACGCCAAGGATAAAATAAAATTTATATACATATATAAAAATGACATGTCACGTTTTACCCGGGGTAAGCTACTAAACCGATTTCAGTAAAATTTAGCGCACTGTGTCCAGTTTGCTCCAACTTAAAAGATAGAATAGTTAATATCCCATTTATGTTAAAAGTCAAAACAATTCATAAATAAAAAAATATGTATTTCTAAGCATAAGCAAGTGTTTTGAGAAAGATGCCAAATTCAATATTTTTTCCAAAGACAAATATTCATATCAATTATTTCCAAATTAAATCTCAAGTTCAATGCCTTGGATTCTTATACCAACAATAACGTTTTCGCTTTGATTCATAAATAATATTTTCACTGTATTGAATAGTACAGCAACGAGGGGCCGGAACTACTAGTTACATATTATATATAATATTTTACAATAACAGTGAAAATGACTAGAAATATCGCAATATCTTAAAAAAATTAATCGAAAACAAGAAAAAATTATAACTTCGTTGCACCGAAGCTATAATACCCTTTACAAATACAAAGGATTCCTTACAAAACTTGATTCTGATTGTTCAGTTTGTATAACAGCTACATGTTATAGTAATCCGATCTAAACAATGTCTTCGGTCATAACCAAACATTTTATACTCTTGTAACTTGCAGATATCAAATTATACTAAACTCATTGGAGACATACTTGTAGAAATGAACGGGATGATTGCAACAATTTTTGACATTGCTCAGGTATACTTGAGAACTTATTCTCAAGCAATTTTATAAATATAATAAACATAACTATACATGAAGTAAAGTCAGCCGGACGTTTCAAAATCGTAAATATTAGTTGCATGAGGGTTAAGGTTAGCTTTCGCCCGATTTTAGGTAAAAAGATACACTGGTTGTTCGAAAATCTTTATATGGAGTATATGGGGGCTAAGGGAAGTATTGATTCGATTCAACCCATTTTTGACACAAAGATATATTATTATCAAAAAAACTTTTTCCCCGAATTTCAATTATTTATCTCACAGATTGACCGATAATTTTGGCAAAAAGTTTACTATAAGCTCTGTGGTCCACATTTCTAGTATCTGGGGGCTTGAATAGTTATAGTCCGATTTTCATAATTTTTAGACCTGAGATGGCATACCTTAAAGGAAATACTCATGCAAATGTTTATCCCGATATATTAATTAGTGCTTGATTTGTATACTAGAAGCTAAAAAAATCAGTGGAATTTAAAGTTGTTTTATATGGGAAGTAGGTGTGGTTACTATCCGATTTCTGTCATTTTCACACTGTAACATAAGAATGTGAAAATAATATTATTTACCAAATTTCACCAAAATGTTGGCTATGCCACGCTCAACGACCAATTTTGAGGCCCGCTAATAAAGCCCTTTTGGGTCCTCGCGGATATAAAATTGAATGTTCCTGACGCATTTCGTTATTGATTTATCGCAGTTTTAGTAGTTTTTAACAAAACCGCTATATGGGGAGTCGGCGTGGTTATCATCCGATTTCACCTATTTTCATGCTGTCGGAAAACGTATCGAAATGATATGTCCTATGTAAATTTAAGTGATACAGCTTGAATAGTTTGGGAAATATATACATTAAACCTATTAGGGGGTGGGGCTACGCTCATTTTTCAAACCACAGGTGTCTCTTTATGGCGATTCGTTGTACAAAATTAAAGAGTTTTGCATCTTAATGTGCGGCTTAGTTATGGCAATTTATAGGTTTTCGATTAATGTCGTTTTGTGGGCGGAGAGTGATCCTATCCACCTATCTACGAAGTAGTCCTAACTTTCTTTTGAAAGAACACTTGTACCAAGTTTCATTAGGATATCTCAGTTTTTAGGTCATCTCGCCATCTTAATAATTTACATATATATTTATAATATAACCCTATATCTATCTCGATAAGATTAAAAACTGTCGCTCCCAATTTTCCGCCAAAAAAAAACCAATGTATATTAACCAATGTATTATTAAAGTTACCTTCACACGGTTTTGGCAACTAGTACAGGCGGTAAGCACAACTTCTTCTGGAATTTCGTCACAAATCCCATTCATACTTGTATATCCTCGTATACAAAAATCCAAATAATTCAAATCCGGCGAAGAAAGGGGCATTCTTCTTTCCAAAACTGATGAACAATTCTTGCTTTATATGCCGGGGCAGAATCTTATTGAAAGCAGTTTGGTATATTGCCAAACAGACTGGATACATGTCCAAAGAAGTGTTCAACAAGCACTGTCCAAACAATATTTTGCGTTAATTTTTACACCTTTGTCAGTGAAGAGGACAGAGAGTTTCCTTTTGCTGACATGGCTCCCCAAACAATAACAGAGATTGCGTTTATGCAAGGTCATTTTATGAGTTATGGCTTGCTTATAACACAAAAAGCTTCTCATCAGAAAACACAATCTCACAATATGCGTGCCGCCGAAGGAGAAAATAACTTTTTTCTCTTCGAATTTGTTGTTGTCGTTCCGTTAGTCCATGAATTCGGTTTTCTTATAAGCCTTCATTACCAAATTTTTAATAATAATATTTGTGATGGTTTTTCGGCTCACGCTGAAGTCCTTAGCCAGTTTCCTTTCAGTACGTTGAACGAATCTGCGGTTAACATCAAGGCTCTGGATCTCATTTGTTCTTTTTCTTTAAAAATGTAACTTTTTCACCAGCTCTCTTTTTGATTCCATTGCTCACAAAAACTGAATTTGATGAAACTTAAAATTATGTTGTGTATACAGTCATTTATAATTCCTTTGCATAAAAGTGGATTGAGATCGAACATTGAAAACTATAGAGGTATCGCAAAACTATCAGTTATACCTAAACTTTTTGAAGCTATCATCACAGACCATATAACCTTTTCGATTTTTCCGTTAATTTCCTCATCTCAGCATGGATTTCGTAAAGGGAAATCGACTCTAACAAACTTGCTTGAATTTGTAAACCATGTATCATTGGGTTTTAGGGAACATAGGCATACGGATACACAGACTTTAGCAAAGTTTTCGAAGTTTCGAAGTAAACCTCTCGATTCTGATACATAAACTTGATCTGCTGGTCTTTTAGCCAAGATTCCTTCAATGGGTATCTTCCTATCTTAATAATAGAACACAACGAGTGAGATTTTAGGATACACCTACAATGTTTCTTCAGGTGTTCCGCAAGGTAGTCATCTTGGCCCGATTCTGTTCTTGTTGTTTATCTTCAGTAATTGAATTCTCAAAAATTTTATTATACGCTAACGACGTAAAGCTTTTTAAATCATACACTTCAACTGAGGAAAGGTGTCTGTTGCAAACAGACTTCAACAATATGGTTGCATGGTGTATAGAAATGATTTGCCATTGAATCTGAATAAATGTAAGACGATGTGCTTTTCCCGCAAATCTGTGCACCCCTCTTCTTATGTAATAAAACACCATATTCTGGAGCAAGTTTTTAACTATGTTGATTTGGGAGTTAATATGGACCCTAAGCTTAATTTTAGTCTTCATATTGATACCATGGTCTCGAAAGCAAAAGCTGTACTCAGTTTTGTTAAACGTTGGTCTAAAGAATTTAGAGATCCGTATATGACCAAAACACTTTATACAGCTTTGGCTAGACCTATATTGGAATATGGCTCTGTTGTATGAAACCCTAACTACCAAATCCATTCTGACAAGTTAGAGTCTGTTCAAAAATAATTTTTACTTTTCGCCTTAGCGCATTTCCGATGGGATTCTAGGGTAAGTCTACCTCCATACACTAGTCGTTTAAAACTTATTAATCTACCTACACTTTCTAGTCATAGGGAAATGCTTGGCATAATATTCTTATTGAAAATCTTGAATGGAACAGTTTGCAGTTCTTTTCTCCTGTCTGAAATTAAATTTAATATCCCGATTCACTTTTCGAGGCAGTTTAGACCTTTACTGTTAAAATCCTGTAGATCAAATTTTGAACTAAACGAGCCCTTCCGCCGTATATGTCATGATTTTAATTCTCATTCCAGCACATTTGACTTATCTGACTTACTTTTCAAAATTAAAAAGACTTTATTGTTTTTTCTTAATGAATGAAAATGTAACAATTTATTATATTGTAACTATAAATCTTAGCTGTTGAAATTTTTTTTCTGTAGCTGAGCAGTTTTAGATCTCAACACTTAAAAAACTCTCTTGCTTTTTCTGACTCGGCTAATTCCGCACGTATGCAGATTGCGCCCGGTTGTGCTGGAGGAGGATAATCGTTGGGTTTTTATTATTATTATATTCAAAATACATATATGTGACAATAGACGGGGAATGTAACGAGAAAATGTTAAAACTTAGTTGGCTCAGCCCAACGAAACAAAGTGCAAAGTATTAAACAAGTGTGATAGTTATAAGGGCCCACGCTGTATAACCCTATATCTAACTCGATTATTTTTGGGTGAACAAAACTATTATACTCTGTTGCAACATGTTGCAAGAGTAAAAAAATGTTGCGAAAAAATTCAACGTTCATTATTCGACGTAATCGTGAGTGAAATACGATCAAATTTAGTATTTTATTAAGTTATACAAGTACTATATTATTGGTCATAGACTCAATTAGTTTTATTACTATATTTTACTTCCCGTCAACGAAAATTATATTAAAATAATCCTAAAATTTAATATATTGAATTTATGTGCAAAACCTGATGTTAGGTACCAACTCCAAACATGTTCAGTGTTTGGTTATAATAACGGAAATTATTATATGTAGTATAATATAATTTCACATATTTTCGGCATTAAGCCAAAGTATATCCAATATCAGTCAAGTACTTGTAATTATATGTGCAAAATTGTTTTTCTTTATAACTTGTGTTTTACTATTTTTAATATACATATATATTTTCTTGTAATTACTTCATGGGTTAGCATTAGGTGACCATATTTGTCCGGCAAAATCCGGGACGGTTTTTTTTAGTCATCGATTTTTTTCATATTATAATTCACTGAAAATCGCGACATATAATAGGTAAGAGAAAAACACAATTTTTTTCAATTCATTCAAATTTAAGTTGGACGGACCAGAAGGTCCACATAAATATTGGAGGGATTTGAGAAGCCCACGAGACGCATGCCATAAACGCGTTCAGGGTGGAGGATAACTCATGGGAGGCATTTTCATCGAAAGGT